GAGTATATTGTAGGGAGACATCATTGTTTGAGCTTGTTTAGGTCAATGCACATGTGTCTATACACACAGGTGTGGTGAGTATTATTGTAGGGAGAGGTATCATTGCTTGAGCTTTTTTTTAGGCCAGTGTACTTGTGCCTAGAGCAGCGCTTGCCAGGCTGGAAGACATCGTCCACAAGTGGGAAGTTTGGTCATTTTGATGGGCGGTGGGGATCATCCAGGTAGTGGCAGTTGTTATATAATGCTGTGCTTGGAAATACATGTAGGTGGGCTGTATGAAAATTGGGCACTGGTTATGAGAAGTTCGATTATGATGAACGGCGTCGTGCTTATTTTGTTCTTTTTACGTCACTTTTGAGGCACATTGCAGTGTCGGCTAGCACGCACCTTCATGTGTCACTATGTTGTCATTTCTCTTGTAATTTGTCATTGTCTCGATCCTTAAAGCAGTCGATCTTACGACATATTCGACGAATTAGGGCCTATTATGATCTAAACTGTGGTTTGTGAAAATGACAAAAGTTTTATTTCTTTTTAAAAACGACCTGTACAGTTTCTGTGTTTACACAAGTGCTCTATTTTCTGACTAGTCTGATTAACACATACATATTTACACGGAAAGGAAATCTATTCTAACTGGAGTGTGCCTCCTGCCACCATTTGTTTTGCCGTCCAATGCTACCTTTCTGTAGCCCTACATTTTCAAGAGGAAAATTGGCACACCAAAAAAAAAATACTCTGGGGTTTTTTTTTCTTTTTAGATGGCACTGAATTTTCTGTGTTGAGGTTTTTGTATGGACAGTGTGAGTATTGCGTCCAAGGTGTATGTACAGAGAGAAGATGTGATATCGGATGTCATTCTCCCGTACACACGGCGATAGGATGTGCTCATAATACCACTACACCTCACACACAACAGAACATACTATATACTCACCTTATCTTCTAGTTCAGGTGTCTCAAAACTCACAACCATTTAACCATTTCATTTCTAATTGAGGCCAGAATGAAGATATTTTGCGGCCCTTTCGTGACTTCAAAGTTTCCTGTTATAAGTGAGACTCAAAGCTTGGTCGGTTATTGAGAGCTTTTGAGAGAACTGGCCTTCACCATTGTGATTTATAAAGATTGAAAAGATCAGAATAGATGTACTTTTAAAGAAAATGATTAACACTTTTTTGTGGTGGCTGAACACTTGATGCAGCCCAAACTCACGCAGACCCTACCTCCACTGGCTCCATGATAGTTTGAGTTTGTTGTTTTTGTTTTAGTAGAGGTTTTACGGCGCTCACAAGTGCATAAGGTCATGTGAGCGCGAAGGCTTAAACAGCACCTGGACTTGGATGGCTGGTGCCTCTATAAATTTAATAATTGATGGTCAAGGTCATATGAGCGCCTAGTTTGAGTTTGAGACTCCAGTAAAGTTCTGGACCTTTTTTTGGTAAAGAAAATGTCCTAACCGTTGCCTTGTTGCGGTTCTGTGTCCAGAGTGCCGGGGTCTACGTCATCAGAACGCGCGCGCCGCCTGGACCGTGCCCTGAACACGGCGGGAGAGGTGGACGAGGAGAGGAGGGCCCAGAAGAGGGCGGAGGCGCTGGCGCGGAGGAAGGCGATGGAGAGAGAGAGGAGGAAGGCTATCCGGGCGGCACAGGCCAGACAGAAGGAGGCGAGGAGGAAAAAGACTTCTGGGGTGAGACAATTGTTTGTTTGTCTGTTTTTGTCGTCCTTGTTAATGTTATTGTCGATGCTGCTGCTGCTGCTGCTGCTGCTGTTGTTGTTGTTGTTGTTATTGTTGTTGTTGTTGTTGTTGTTGTTGTTGTTGTTATTGTTGTTGTTGTTGTCGTTGTTGATGTTGTTGTTGATGTTTTGTTTTTGTTGTATGTTTTTATTGTTTTTACTGCTGTTATCGTCATTGTTATTGTTGTTGCTGTTGTTGTTATGACAGTGTATGTCCGCGGCCCCAGTTGTCAGACTCAGAAGGTATGCACATTTTGAAATGGAAGTGGAGGATTGGGAGCTAAATTTGTGAACGTTTCTGGGAGTTTTGTGTCTTCTGGAGCCACAATAATGGGGACAGATAAATGTAGAACAGTTCTATACTCTTTAAGGATGAAGCAGACAGATAGTGCAACTAGCAGCAAACCAGACTTAATAATGTTGTGACACATTTCAAAGTATCATACAGATCAGAAACACAGATTTGTATATTTTGTAGTACACATGTTGTTGAGTTTCGGATTGATAAAATAAAATTGAAAAAACAAAATGCACGAAAAAATAAGTTATGCTCCTTTTTTAAAAACAGTATTCCAGAGCGGTGGGTGTCTTCACAGTTGTTGAAGAACCAGAATGGGCGTTAAGAGGCAAGAGAAATGTGACACAAACACTAACTTGGATGTTTCTTTTTCCGAAGTTTCAGTATATCTAACTTCTCCAAAGTGTAGTTGTACAATTCAGCTAGTTATTCTTGGGGTATCGGATATACATAATATGGACGCAGGAATCCTGCTTCGTCAAAAGCCTTGAGTGTGCTGGCAAGATGACAAGTTATGGCAAAATCACGTCCTGAAGTCTGTAATGTGTGTTTATATTTTTATACCCGTAGGGTTCTGCTCAAGACAAGCTGGATGAAGAACTTCCGGAAGGAGAGGAAGGAGAGAACGCGGGAGAAAGACAGGACAAAGTTCCTTCCTTTGCAGACTTGTCCGGGAATAGACAGTGAGTACATACTATTGTGTAGCCCAGAAGTGTGAAACCCAATCACTCAAACTCAAACTACACCTTAGATTGAGGCCAACATAGATCTACACTCATTGAGCAGTGGAAAATTCAATCTTTTTTTAAAGCAACGTATGAATCAAAACAGGCAAAAGAAAAAATGATAGCAGTTTTTGCTATTGTAGCAATCTATCATAGCTGGCTGTTTGGCATCTTTTCTTGGCAAAAGATTGTTTATGTTTGGAGTAAGGTTTTGTGCTATGGAGATTCTCAAGATGGGCGACCTAAAATTCTCTCCTGGGCCAATTATAATTGTTGACTGAGCCAGATGCGGCTTGTGGGCCTTGAGTTTGACAATTTTTGGTGTACAAAGCGAGTACATGTTTGTACATATAATGAGTGAATACTGGCACGTGTGTTGCGAGTTCATAATGCCTATATAATGAGTGCGTATTGTAAAGACAGCAAACATCTTTCTCTTGTTTCTTGTATCGCCTGTTGCATTTGGCGTCGGTGGCCTAGTGGTTAGGCTACAAGACCCATAATTGTGAGATTGCGGGTTCGGGGGTTCAAGCCTCTGCTCGGTCCGACGTTGTGTCCTTGGGAAAGGCACTTTACACGAATTTCCCATATATTTTCTCTGTCTTTTCGGAGATGGACGTTAAACTGGGTGCCCCGCCTCTTAAAAAATAACCTAATAGTGTTGACAGGGGTATTAAAACGGTACCATTTCACCATTTCACCATTTCACCATTTTCACGCCTGTTGCATGGGTGTATTATGTGCCCTGTCTTAACAACCCACCCCTCCCTCTCTCCCCTCAACCCCCTACCCCATCTTTCCCCTCCCCCTTCATCCCCCCTTCCCCTTGCAACTCCCCCTCCCCC